TGTGCAAAAGCAACCAAGCACTGAGGACTTACTTTTCTCCACAGACAGGGAGAAACAGCATCTCACAGGCATTCTTAAGAGCCATGTAAAATGTCAATCCTCCCCGTTCCACCCCTCACCCTCTCCAGTTTCACGCACTCTAAACCAGCTGCTTTAAAAAGACTCTGACTTCAAAGCACAGTAAATTAAGCTCCACAGAAAGTCCATTCAGCTTTTTGTTTAATTTGATAAAAGCTCATCAGACCATTCAAGTTACCTTCTGGTCAATACTGCCTCGAGAAATCTGCAATTCAGCTACCTGTGGTTTTTCCAGTATTTCTGTAAAACATTACTGACAGGATCTGTCAGCCTGCAATGCATCAGGTCTTTGCTAAACACTGTTTAAGGGCTCAAAGTACCTTTTATACTACTGTGATTTCTTGTTTTTCTCTAGAAGTCTTCATCTTGTGGGATGTTTCTTTCCTCTTGCTCTAATGCCCTGGGCTCACCATCATTTTTAGACAGCATTTCTCCTCTATTTTAACCTGATGACATGTCTATTAATTTCTTCCTAGGAAAAAGGGATTGGTCTCAATAACAACAACTCAGCTCTTGACTCGCTGGTTAGGAGGCTTGATGGGGCTCTGAGCAACCTGATCTAGTGGAATCTGTCCCTGCCCACAGCAGAGGGGTTGGAACTAGATGATCTTTGAGGTCCCTTCCAACCCAAACCAGTCTGTGATTCTATGATTAGCTCCAGGCTAGACAAAGTTACTGCTAAGCTGGATACTTTCAGGTCTATTGGCAAAGAACAATACATAAGCTGACCATAGCCCCTTCCATCCCAGATGATCCCAAAGCACTCGACAAACAGCGTCCTAGATCCCTCATCCACCATCCAAACACACTTGCCACTAACTGTGCCAGCAGCACTACATAAAATCTAGTTAAGAGGTGAAAGGGAGAGCAACTTCTCCAACTGAAATTACAAGGAAATGAAAGGAGGTAGAGTACATTACTTCATGGAGAGGTTGGCCAGGAGACTGAACAGCACACCTCTTTAAAGTCCAAAAGCCTTCTGCAGGCTTCCCATCTAAGCATCATCAGGAAAAAGCAGTGCCCGGCCTAAGAGATTTGACAAGATCCCAACACAGTACTGACAACAGAAAAATACACAGAAGATTTCACTTTAAGACCTCTTCAGTGTTGCTTATTTCAATAAGCCATCGCACAGGAAGGAAAATAATCCAGTGAACCCCATAATTTGAGGAATACACAGGATCAGCCTCCCATCCACCTCCCCTCTCACCAAGCACTGACCTTGCTGCCAACAGAGCAGCAATCAAAGACTTTAGATTTCCTATCACATAATTACAAATAGGATGCTTAGAAAAGGGGGAATAAGAGGGATTTTTTATACATGGTGATCATGGGAAGCTGACGAATATCCTATATAAATACAGTCCTGATATAGCAAAGGGGTAAGTCTACTTTATTTCTCCAATGGAATCCCAAGTTTTAGGAACATGTGCACAACCTTATTAAAAAGAGGTGGCTCTGCTTTAAGCCTTTAAATCCCTAAAGACAGACCAAAGAAAACACAGGACAAAGTAGAAATACTATTGATTATGCATAATTGGTATAATTAATTTGTAATTAGTTCATTAAAACATATAGGCATTGGAATTATGCTTGTACATTTCTGGGAATATCCTGCAAGTCCCTTGGGATATGCTTATCATTTATTTGATAGATGAAACATTATTAGAAAGACAGCCCATTAAAAATTAATATGCCAGAGTAATAATTTCTCTATCTCAGCATTCAGTTTTCTACTTCCACAGATTCCTATTCTGCCTCACAAAGAGTTTTTATTAATTCTGTTTCCCAGAGTGTGACTTGGGAAGCTCAGCATTCAGGACAACTGAGGCACAACATCCTTCATGCTGAGTGTGCAGTTAGTTTTGAGAAACAAAAAGACAAATAAATTATATACCATCAGAGCATTCAGTACCACATCTAACTGCATAATCAGAATTAAGATGGAAAGGTAAAAAGCCTTGTGCTTCAAAACAAGTACTAGACACGGATGGAAAACAGTACGAAGAAACTTCCAGAGCACTGGAAGCAGCCTGGTCTGTAATTTCTGAGCAGCATTCTGCTTCTGCAGTGTGTCTGGCATCGCTCACTGTCAGAAATAAGCAGGTCTGTGTGAGCAGGACTTCAGGGGTTCTTAAATACTACAGCTAACAGCCACCAGACTCTCACCAGAAGAGACTGAAATGGGCTGGTACACAATGGCACTGCAGTGGCATTTCAAAGGTGTTATCACACCTTGGTGTAGGGGGAAAGTATGATGGCATAATAGTCCCTCCCTTGTTTTTTAGCTCTGATGCCACTTCACTATTCCTACTGATCTTTCCGAAGTCTTTCCACTATTTCTGAAGTGTCATTTCAATCAACAGCCACAGAAATAATTTGATCTTAAAAACCCAGAGTACAGTCGCATCACTGCCGAGTCAGGTATGGGAGATCGAACTTTCCTTAAATTTCTGTACTGGATAGAGTCAGTTCTTGTGTGTAATTAGCAGCACCAGCAATGGCCTTCTGCTCAAGATCTATTCTTAAACAGTGTTTCCTCCCCTCCACCAACACTAATCCGAGAATCATAGAATTTAAGGTTTGGAATGGACCTTACTGATCATCCAGCCCCAAGCCCCTGCCATTGGGCGGGGACACGTCACTAGATCAGGTTGCTCAAGGCCTCATCCAGTCTGGCCTTGAACACTGCCAGGGTCAGGGCAGCCACCACATCTCTGGGCAACCTATTCCAATGCCTTACCACTCTTACAGTAAAAAACCTTTTTCTAATATCTAACCTAAACTTTCCCTCCTTCAGTTTGAACCCGTTACCCCTTGTCCTATCACTGCAGCTCCTAACAAAGAGTCCCTCTCCAGCTCCCTTGTAGGCCCTTCAGATATGCACTTGATGCATGAAGCTAGGCCATGGGAAGACTCATCTTTATATAAGAAAAATCTAAAAAAAACCCCCTAAAAATCATTATTCAAAAGGAGCAAAATCAATAGTGGATATGTAGCCCCAGCCCTGGCAGTGTTCACAGCCAGGTTGTCTAAAGCCTTGAGCAACCTGTTCTGGCGGGAGGTGTTCCTACCCAGGGCAGGGGGTTGGGGCTGGATGATCCCTAAGCTCCATCCCAACCCCTTAACATTCTGTGATTCTGCGTAGTGCAAGTAGTATCATTTGCCATTATAAGGATTGAATTTTCTCTTGTAAAACAAAGAGTATGTGCCTAAAAAATAGTTTCAGTATTTAAAGGGTCTCCAGGTCCTTTAACCCACAATTAAACACTCTGCTATAATTTTGTGCTCTTAAGCAAATCTGCTTTAAGAATTCCCAACAGCCTCCCAGGATCCACATACAATTTTTTTTTCCCTGCCTCCAATCTAGCATGGACAATTATTTATTTCCCTTGCCTTGCACTCAAGAATGTGATGGATGTATTTACATAAACACACAGTCACAGATATCTCTCTACAGAAATTAATCTGCAGATGATGAAAAGTGTGAAAGATCTAAGAGGCAAATCCCAAACAAAAGAGCATACTTTCTACATAAATATCTTGAAATTATAAAGATCTGAGATTAAGTGGTTTACCACTCATTTAGAATTGATTAGAATGTATTTAAATTTAGCTGAAAGTACCACAACATTGCTCATGTATTTGCATCTGCGAATAAGTAAATAAAAAGCCTGTTATTAAAGCCTTCATTAATTCTGATTATATGAGAACTTAAAAGCAAATCTGTGTATTACTGCTCTGTAAAGACTCCTAGCAACTCCTTAGTGAAGCTGGCACTGCAACACAACATGTGTCAGCGAAAATGACTAACAGGATCTATTTTCAGGAATCTTAAATCACACTGGTAAAATATAGAATTAATGGTTTTGCAGACTACTTCAAATATTTTTCCTTCTAATTCATTCCCAATTCATGCCTTATTGTATCAAAAAGTGAATTTTATATCACTTGACATTTATGCACAACAGCTGAACACATTTTATTAAACTACAATGTTTAGGCAGCACTCAGATGTGATGTGTATATTATTATAGTGATCCAGCTATTTTATTTCCTTATAAATATGATGACTGGAGGTTTAAAAAATATATCACATTGACTAGAAACATGAAGAACATTTCATTCTGACTACAGATTTTGAGAGCTTCTATATATTTAACTGAAGCCAATATGTTTGAAAGAAGGATTTGTTAATTTGAGTAGAATTTTCCCCCATTAAAGTTGTCTGTGGATTCTAAGGAGTTTAACAATTAAGGATATAATCAACTCCAACTAATAAATAAAATAAATGTATTAATCCAAATTCGCATTTACAGAAACCTGAGTTTCCAACACCAATTCACCTGTCAGCCCTGACATTCCCTTTGGACTGTGAAGGTCAGTCCTGGTAAAGCTACTTCCACAAACTCTACTTTTCATGTCTTGACTCAAAGCCTGAGTGAGTATTTCTGACTTGAGTGGGACCACAGGTCCCAGACCAGCACAGGTCTATGCTCCATTTATAAATGAAAGGTGATTTGGGGCAGTGAGGGGAGAAAAAGCCAAATTCTCATTATATTTGGTACACAGGAAATGATGTTGCAATACCCAAGAACGTTCACTTTCCACACTCACAGCTGAAAAGCCATTCCAAGTTAAAACAAAATACAACAAAAACCAACCTTCCCCAACATTTAGTCATTAGAGTTAGGAGGTGCACTTCGATTAAAGATTTTGCACTTTATCATGCCCAATAATCAGAGCTTTAGAACACTTTACAATGTAGAGTTGGCTTCAAAATAAATTACTTCTGCCTATAATTTCTAGGCCCAAGTGCCAAATGAGTCACACCACAAAACATTTCAAGGCACCATACAAGACAAACGATTAAAAAGATACTTAGTTATACAGTTACATACAGTTATATATTTTAGTTATACCTGATAGTCTAAAATGCTGAATCCTAAACCATTTTTGTCTTTCTCCAGTTCAATCACCTTCACATCAGGAGACCATAATGCTAATTCCCCTTCTTCCTCCTCAGGATTAAAGTCTTCCTCAGGTTTCACCTGGAAAATAAAAGCTCTAGTTCAAATACTACACTAACTACAAACACTATTCCTTCAAGATTTTGCTTATTAATGGTGCATACATGCCCTAAAATATGACCTTTTCTGGAATTAAAACTTCACTGAACATTATGAACACAGTTTTCTCCAGCTTGCTGCCTTGAGTACTCCCCTGGGACCATGCCTACATGTTTTGAGCATCAGAGCCCAACCTGGCATACAAATACCCACGTGTTAGTCTAATTAATTGTTATTATATCACTAACCTGTTACACGTTGATGAACTTCAGTTGTCCCATTAGATGCATAAAGGAAAAATAAATAGCATAAAAGATTTAACCACAGACAGCTAATAGAAAGAGCACACCATCAGAAAAGATGAGAAGTCAAGCTGTAAATACTTTTTTCAGATAGAACAACCACAAATGTGAAGTTTTAGTTTGAGACTTTAAAGCTTCTGCGATGGAAAGAAACATTAAGCTTCATTTTTTTTTTCCCCAGTTCTATAAAAACCTACTCAGAACATGGAAGTAATCAGCTAATGGTGGCAAGGATGTGATTTAGTATAATTCAGAGCTCTCACTCACCTATTAAGGGTAAGAATGATAAATGGGATGTACAGAGTCAGCACGCAGCTCAGTGATTTACCTACCTCGTCTCTAGAGCACAATGAAACATCTCATGACCAACTTGTATAAACTCAGAAATACATGTACTGTTCCAAGAAATTATTGTCCTTTTACACAGTGCATGACATGAGAAGTCTACCTTTTGTTCTGGAGGGGAGACTCCCATGGTGGGTTCATCCACAAGTGACTCAGTGCCATCATCAAAGAGTCGCCGACAGCAAACCAACGTGAACGGGGGTGGAACCTCCTTGAGGAAAGTGACTGCCTCACGCCGGGATTTTCCATACAGCTGGACTCCGTTGACCTGAACAGAAGGGGAACACAGCCACACTAAGATAATTAAATCAACTGAATTATTTTATTTAATTTTTTTTTGTATTTATGTCTTTCCCCACCTGAGTATGAAAATTTTACCTGGGGATTCTGGCACAGCTTGTACAGTTTTATTAACATATGCTTCTGAAGAATATATTCATTATTGCAAGACTTCACTCTCTACAACTCCCTGACAGGGGCTGGAGAGAGGTGGGGGATGTCTGTCCTGCCATGGCTGCAGGGAGACGACTAGAGGGAACGCGCTTGAGCTGACACAGTGGAGGGGCAGATTAGATGTTAAGAAAAGTTTTTTCACTGTTACGGTGTTCAGGCACTGGAATAGATTTGCCCAGGGAGGTGGTGCAGTCACCATCCCTGGAAGTGTTTAAGAGGTGTCTGGATGTGGCACCGAAGGATATGGTTTAGGGTTTAGGGTTACAGCAGTGGCAGGTTAATGGTTGGACTCGATGATCTTAGAGGTTTTCTCCAACCTTGATGATTCTATGACTTAAACTTCATCTGCAAGATCTTGTGCCTACTGACTGCTACATATCTCTGCCCTTTTCGGTTTCCTTTAATTTCTTTCCTGCTCACTGTTTTTTGTAGCATAAATCTTTCCTGGAATTCTTATTTCTTTCTCACCTGTTTCTTTGCTGGGGATTTTTGTTTTAGCATTAGGCTTATGTGTTTGAATGAAAAAAAATTCCCACAATACTTTAAGAAAACATAGGTTCTAATCAATCTAACAAAGCTCTAATCAAAAACTTGAAGTCAGAACTAGCACAACCTGTTTAACACTTGGACTTGATGACCTTAGAGATGTTTCCAACCTGAATGACACTATGATTCTCAGTTTAAAATGTAACAAAGTGGCTGAAACTAAACAAGATCCTACAGAAAACATGCAAGAATGATTGTATAGTAAAAAAACCCAATTAGTGTAAGCAGTTAATCAGAAAACCCTGACAAGGGGCAAAGCTTACCATCCCATAAGCTTGAGATCCTGAATGGCAACAGAAGACCATAAGGCCATTGTTAATGGATGTCTTAAACCACAGTTTGAACCAGAAAAAATACAGACAGATAGAATAATGCTGCTTTAGAAATGGGATACTACAGTTGTACATTTTTGCCCAGAGAGGTTGTGGATGCCCCATCCTTGGGAGTGTTCAAGGCCATGCTGGATGGGGCTCTCAGCAACCTGGGCTAGTGGAAGGTGTCCCAGCCCAAACCATTCTGTAACTCTCAGAATCTACTTCCTCAGGAAAATAAACCCACAGTGATTCACCCCCTTTTAACTACTTTGTAACCTGCAATATCATGAGTGTACATATGACTGCACTATAGGAGTATCCTTAAACATGAGGAAAGCAGAACATCAGTAGGTGTCATTAATGTGAACATCAATATTGACCAGCACTACATCCCCAAAGGAGCAGAGGTTTAACCCAATGAGTGCTGTGGACTCAATCCCAACACTTCTTGTGTTTCAGGGATTTCTTACAGGCTGCTTCAAGTCTGCTCTCAGGATCAAACGTCAAAAGTTGCTGGAATGCCACCACTGTTTTAGGAATTCAACACGCATCATCATCCAAGTCACTCCACAATAGGAACCAAAGCACAGTAAGTGGAGATGATTGAAGATTCTCTCTAATACTTCCCTCCATACCCAAACTGCAATGCTAGTGCAGATGAAAACACATTTGATCCTAAGAAATAGAGCACGGAAACATACATCAGACATGTACACACCACCGGATGTGTGTACATGAGGCAGAGCCTCACCATATAAAATCACAGAATTAACCAGGTTGGAAAAGGCCTCCAAGATCAAGTCCAACCCTACCGTGGTTACTAGACCATGGCACATCCAGTCTCATCCTGAAAACCTCCAGGGATGGTGGATGCACCACCTCCCTGGGCAGCCCATTCCAATGCCTGATCATTCTCACCTTAAAAAATCTCTTCCTAATATCTAACCTAAACCTCCCCTGGCACAGCTTGAGTCTGTGCCCTCTTGTCCTCCTGCCGGTTGCCTGGGAGAGGCATACTTCCCAAGTCTTGAGAGAGACTTAGGCAAGGCTACACAGCAAGCTCACTTTAACCAACATTTTCTTCCTGATCACTTCTATTTTTTTCCCACCTTTTCCTTTGTGCTTTCTGCAGTGTAAATATAGTTTATATTGCTGGGAAACACAGAGTTCCTTTCGCAGTATATCCCAGCCAAGGAGAAAAATTGAGTGGTGTAACTGGCCTCTTGCACAGTAAGACGAACTGCTCTGGGTTTTTTCTGCAAGAATTACTGCAAGTGCTGAGCTATCAGGCTAATCCATTAGTTAATTATTTAAGCAGAAGGATCTACGCGTAAGGATTTTTTAATGCATGGAGAGTGGCAGTGTGGTGGAAAGTTACCAGCACTTCTCAGCATCCTGTGATTGATGGGGAAGAGCTACTGTGCACTCCCCAGCAGACCTGGGGACTCCCATTTCTTCTTTTTGCAGCTGCCAGAAATCAGCCTCTGAGCAGGCAAGGTGCCCTACACCCATTCATTCACCACACCACTCCACTTAGCTGTGCCATGAAATAGGAGTGACATCTTACAAAACTAGAAGGACACAAGGAAGCAATTTACTCCCAAATAAAGAACACAACGAAATTAGCTCAAATTTAGGGCAGGGGAGGAGTACCGTTTTCTAACAGAATTCAAATACATCATTAAAAATAAACATTCAACCTCAGTATATATTAAAAATATTCCTTGCTGATCACATTTTAATCCCAACTCTATCAGGCCTAGGTAGGGCTGCTTGTTTGGGGAGTGGGGCTGTCACTTTTTCCACTGCAAACCCCTATTTAAGGGGATTTATAACTTGGCTGCAAAAACAGAGCCTGGGCTAAACCTGGCATACAGAGCTTTAGCCCTGGAGCACATTTTTATTTTGTCGGGTTTTTTTTCCCCAGCTACAGAGTAGGAAAAGAATTTATGCTCACTAGGTCTGGACATACCTGTGAATTTAATTGTAAGTACACAGGAATATATAAAACGGTTAAATATACACAATTAAAGTTTCCTAAGTTACTCTACAGCACTGCACTATTGCTTTTTGTACAGAATTTTTTGTTTAGTGGCCAAGGAATTTATACAACACTTCCAGCATTCCATTAATCCTTTCCTTTAGGAATCAAGATTTCCTCCATTAAGCAGTAAGAAAATGTTTTAGGTCTTAGCGATATCAAGTATGAATTTTTGATGTTAAAAGGTGAATAAGTAAAAGCAAAATAGCTGCACACCTGACAAATCAATCTTTCAGAAGGCCTAATCCTGTTCCCATTAAACACTATTTGCATCCACTAAAAAAAGGTTCAAGTATCAAAATATTCCACCAAGAGCAAGTATTTAATGGGAAATAAATGTCTTTTCACTTGCAAGCTGAGATACTGATAGATACATGTACACAGACACACAAATAGGTATTATCTTAATATTATCAAATGTTTTTCTTGAGCAAATAGGTCTGGTCTGATTCTGGTAACTCTAAAGCTGCCCCAAAACCTCTTTATACATATTTAAACAAACTGATGTACTAGCTCATACACACAAATGTCTTTCAACACTCAACCAGCAAGTTATAATGTGTAACTGGAACCACTATTCCTAAGATTGTTGTAAATTTTTTAGGAGTGACAAATATTCAGAAAGATTATCCACCGCAAAAGCTAATGCCAAACTGTGCAAAGGACTGAGCTGCAGGACTACAAATAATTCAAGACTAACATTGTCTCTGCCCTTACAACTCTTGATACTCCTGTTAAACATTTCAGAAAGAAACTCCAACATGAAGTCATTAAGAGGTCACAAGAATTTGATATTTTGTCCATAAAGCAGGAACCAAACAGTGAAGAAAATGAATGTGACTTCCAAAGCACCACTCTACTCCCACAACTAACTCTGGAATACTACTACTGCACACACAGCAGCCAAACTGGAATTTAATACAAGCATTTTAAGAAGGCTAAGCAAACAGGAAATACATCAGTTCTATTTCTGAGGGGTTCTGCTTAGGTTTTTACCTCCAGAAGTTCATCTTCCAGTTGTAGAAGACCCAGTGCTGCAGCTGGATCATCTGAAGCAATTGATGATATATAATGATGTCCATTAAACGTGTCGAGCTCAACTCCTAATCTCAAAGTGTGGATGGGCAATAGCTGCCAAAACACAATAAG